AAGTCCACAGGAGATGATCCCTCTGGACACAAGAGAAATCTGAAAAACAGTGTGTGTAGGAATGAAGCACTGACTCCTGCAATACCCAGCTTCACAGACCACTACTAATCATGTAACTCCTGGCTGCCAATTGACCTGTAATGTAGGCGCTGCAGATGAAGATTACCCTGATTAGTTTTTATTTCCATTAAGGTTGTGAGATACAAGGGAAAACAAAAAATGATAAATGAGCAAAATAGAGGAACACAGATGACTAGAATAGATCATCAGTATACACTATAAATAGGCTACAATGAAATAATTTGTGGATGCTACAAGCAGAAAATAGGTTGTATCCATACATATTGAGCCATTATTGCTAGCTGGTAATTTGCATGAAGAATTAAGGGATAGAAGATGAATTAAAATTATTTTAAATGGAACTTTTTCTATGAAACAAGGTTATGGAAAGACTTATATTTTCCTCTAAGCCACACAGGAATGGAGCAAGTTAACAGAAATAAAGCTTTTTAAAAAAAATAAAAGTATGACAGTATGACATATTCCCAGTATGACAATTTATAGAAAACTCAGGTATAACTTTGGGGAAGGAACAGGAAACAGATTTGCAGAAAGCCATTTTTCAGAAAAAGGGCAATGAAGGTGGTACTTCTGACATTTGATCTTGAATTTCTGTACACTTTTCAGAAGAAGTATTAGTCACCATTGAAGGCACAAGTAAAAGGTGACCAGAATCAAATGGCTATCCCTATGATACACCAAAACCAGATAAAGGCCTGACTGTACAAAGGTGAGTGAGACACTCATAGAATTCTAACCCTCTAAATTTGAAAGTAGCCCAAGTCAGAAGAAAATACAAGTCTTAACCAAAAGGTGCAAGGATCAAGTTACTCTCAGATAGTCTCTTAGTGCCTTCCAATTTTTAAATTTCAAAATAAGAAGGAGTGGAACTTCAGTGGATAGCAGAAATCTAGTCACACAGCTCACTGAAAGCCTGATCCACTTAGCTCTCTACCTTTTTCCAAACCTAGGAAAAACATCTTGCACAAAGAAGGATTAAATCTGCTCCGTGCTTGTGAACTTGTCCAAGCTGTGAGGAAATAAAGGGCCATGTGTGCTTGGATACAAATTCTGGCAGTACAGCTCAAAGACCTAAATGCTGCTCTGTACTGAAAACACAGATCTTCAGATTCCAATGATTGTGACCATGCTAACCTGACATAATCTTGCCTTAACCTTCTGGACACATAAAAAAAAAAAAACTGAATTGGACAAAAGATGTTCAACAGGCAACTGACTCATAAATGGGGAGTAAAGGACTCAGGAACAGACAAGTTCTGGAAAGGTAATTTTCTACTTCTGTTAGTGTCTAATGCAAAACAAGTTGACCACAGATTTGAAATTCCCCATTTTATAATGTCCTCTCAGATTTCCCTTTTACAGGAGCCTGGCATATGAATTATCAAACAACTGACAAAAAAGGGAAGCGAGATCCATAATGAACCAAATGGCCGTACTAATTTATCATTAGAGGCACAAATATCTGAAGTCTCTGAACTGAAAAGAATTTCAGGAAAACAAAGCTGTACTGGTAGTGTTTCTGGTCTGTTACATAAGTCAGGAAAATCTCTTTATGGAAATAAGTGTGTTCAAAATCAGGAGACATGAAATAATCCCTCTTGCTGAAGTGAAGGTATCACCACCAATGTTATCATCCTGAAATTGTATTAGCAATTAAAGATCTTAAGCTTCTTAAAGAGATGTCTTTATCCTCCACTATAAGGACTAACACCATAGAAATCTGGACCCTCCACTCCAAGAGGAAAGGCTCTGTAAATGATAAAGGTGAATGAAGATCTCCCTGTCCATAAAGCCCATTCTCCTGGCAAGAGCTTTTGAAAAGAGGTGGGGAAGAAGGTTTGCAGAATAGGCTAGGAAGAGTGATTAGTGTAACCAGGGTGTTCAACAATGCAGGACAATATGGATTCAGATGAACTGTCAAAAGCCTGAATCCAATGAAAAAGGGGACAAAAGAAACAGACTTAAGAGAAAGGATTCATGGCTCTTACCACTCCTGGAGAAGTACCGGCATGACTACCATAAGGAATGAAGAAAAGTGTGCAAGGATGTTTTGAGGATAACTAGTCAAATTATTCAGAAAGAGAAGCCAAAGTTGTAGCATTTCAGATCTGTAATTTGGCTCCTGTCAAAATGCTAATGTGAAGCTTCCTGATTATGTCAGTGTGTTCACAGAGTTTCTAAAAGACTGAAATACTTGGCCACTGTGAGCTCAGATCCAGCCTCCCTCCAATTCTGGCTTGCAGTTCATGGGCTGTTCAGAGCTGTATGGCCAAAACAGTCCTCTTCAGAAAGTAAACCACAACATGCTATGTTATCTAGTCTCTTGCAACTTGAAAGCAAAAAAAAATTACCAAAAAAGGGACTTTATTTGTCTTAATCTTCCAAGCATTAACTCCATCAACCATCAGATACTGGACTTCATAGAGCAGAGCCTGGTAATCTATTATTCTTATTTCAAGGTCGGGGGGAAGTTATTTTTCCCCCTCTACAACCAAATGTTTAAAAGCCTTGCCAAAAGAAGTGGAGTGAGACTGTTTAAAAAGAACCACAGCAACAAAAATAGGAGTGAGTGGAGGGTGAGTAAAAAGGAAAATCCAAACACCTGCTGATTCTTGGTAGCATCTGTCACTGTACAAGAAGTGGGAGAACATGAAGGTAATGCTTGCCAAAGCACTTCAGCTGGAAGCAGTATGGCATTATTCACTGATCTGGTTGTATCAGCTAGTAGGTCCTATGGAATATCAATCACAAACAGAACAAAATTTTGGGAAACTCTCACAGAAATCTGTACAGTACTAAACTGTCCTTTGCAGCAATGCTTTAAGGTTTTGTAGGAGTTGCTACAAATGGTCTTCCCAAAATGAAGAGCAGAAGCTGCTCTTATGTCACTAAGATGTTCAAGAACAAAAGGTCACCTGCACATTTGCCCTTCACGTAGGTAGGGAATATGGCAGTGTCCTAAGGTGACATTTTTGAGGGGAAGATGAAAGGGTGTTGTGGAGGCAAAGTTCCTTCTTATCATAAGATAAGCCTGCTTACTGGGGAATGACATGATGGAGACGTGATCTGCCCAAGAGATTGTGCATTTCCTGTAACAGCATTTCTCAGGTAAGAGACTAAACACAAAATATAAATCCTTCCTCGCAGAGGATGGACATTGAGCAAGAGGTAATAATCCCATAAACCAAGGGTGTTTTCAAGATTGCCGAAAAACTTCTCAGTCGTGCCTTTAGGTCTTGATGAGTAAAAATTTATGGCTGATTCACCCTTTTTAAAGGGATATAAGCAATTGGGTACTAGCATGGATACAGACCAGAAATACCAGTCATTGCTTCCTACAACTTGTACAGAGGCAATAGAGAAAAGACATTTCAGTAAAGACAGAAACTCTAATGGAGCTCCCACTGATGGGGAATTTGGGGAATGACATGATGGAGACGTGATCTGCCCAAGAGATTGTGCATTTCCTGTAACAGCATTTCTCAGGTAAGAGACTAAACACAAAATATAAATCCTTCCTCGCAGAGGATGGACATTGAGCAAGAGGTAATAATCCCATAAACCAAGGGTGTTTTCAAGATTGCCGAAAAACTTCTCAGTCGTGCCTTTAGGTCTTGATGAGTAAAAATTTATGGCTGATTCACCCTTTTTAAAGGGATATAAGCAATTGGGTACTAGCATGGATACAGACCAGAAATACCAGTCATTGCTTCCTACAACTTGTACAGAGGCAATAGAGAAAAGACATTTCAGTAAAGACAGAAACTCTAATGGAGCTCCACTGGGGAGCTTTCACTGATGGGGAATCAGTGAGTTAGGGCAGACCCTAAAATATCACAAAGGTCATAATGAAATCTGGTGACAAAGGAACTGGGAAAAAAAAAAGCTCAGAACAATGTGTTTATTTTGTGATGCTGCAGACATGCTCCATTTTTCCTTCAGCTATTGCAAATGTTCCCTCCTTACTGCCAGAACAGGCAGCACAATCAGAAAAAATGTATCTCAAGCACTTCTCTGTATGAAGAATCAAAGCATCTGGCAGGATATCTAAAGCTTTTCTCTTTATTATGAATAGACTAGAGAGAGACACAGACTTCTCCTAGGATGATAGTGGAAATTTGATTTCTTGAATCTGAGACTTGAGAAAAGGATAAAAGATGAATTTTTAATATTTTTTGGGAGCAACTTTCTCAACCTGTACTTGAAGTCTCAATACACAGAACACTCAGAGGGAATAAAAACTTCACCCAGACACAACAAGAAGCTGATACTTTCATTTCAGAGAGCATAAAGCCAAAACTTTTGTTCTGAAGTGTGGAATCTAGCTTGTCCCAGCACAATCAAAACTGGACCTCATAAGAAAAAAAGGATGTTTAAATAACTTGAAAACATTTTTAAAATAACAGATTATCAAACAGAGTAGAGTATGAACTGAAGTAGAAGGTTGAGATGAATCTTCAATAAAAAGCAGTTAAACATTAAGAATTATGGTGCAGACACAGCTGGAACTGAATTCTAGGTGCCAGGCTGTACTCCATTGCTTATAAAATGCCCACAAGTCAGCAAACAAGTTTTGTACAGCTCTACCCTCAAAATATGCAGAAAAGAACTTGATGGTGAATACAGGATGCTAATGTGCAAATGCAGAACTCAATAATTCACCTCTAATTTATGCCTTTTGATTTCATCAAAACTTAATTCCACACCAGTTACCTACAGTTTTTAAAGAGTTGAACAGAGGGACTTCAGGGGCAATAATTTTAATATACACACATACACAGGGATAGATCACACATGTTATTATACAATTATATATTATTCAAACATGTATGTATCTATAAAGGACCAGCTTCATATTTCTGGACAAGAATCTCCTCTTTGAAGTGTTACCATAATTTCCAAAAACTGTATTCTCATACCTTTGCATACGCAGTTGTCTTGATAAACCACTGTTTGAGGTATTTCTGTTCCACTTTTGCTCCTGAACGCCACGAGCAACCATTGTCATCCACCTGCTCATTAGCTAGAACAGTCTGATCCACTGGATCCCAGTTAACCAAGGCCTAAAAAAAAGTTGCAGGAAGAAAAAATACTTTCAGCAGCTAGTTAAAAACCAAAGCTTTACTTTGCAGATGCCAAATGAATTATCCAGAAGCATACCTTGAAAATTTACCTGAGTTTTCTGTATTTTTAAAACATCCATTTGAATCAGCAACATGGACTAAGCTGGTAAAGTTTTGAACATTCATCTCCTCAGAACTCAGAAGACCCAAAAATGCAGTTGGCAAAGTTTGTCTAGACTGATCATGCTAGCAGGATAGGCGGACAGCTGACTGCTTGGCTGTAATATGTAATAAGTGTTCCAACTGACTATACTGCAAACAAAATAGTCTGATGCTTAAAAGTTCTTCACTACTAATCCAAAAGTGTTGAGTCAGACTGAAGGGGATGAGTAGACAAGGATGTCCAACCCAAGAGGACAGAATCACGAAGAAGTATTACAGCAGTCAACTATAGTTTACGTGAAAGAGTTGATATTACCTGTATGTAACTCATGTCAACTGCATGAATTACTTTTGGAATCCTCTTTCCTTATCAATACAAATGCATTAAGTAAAAATCTGTAAAGTGAAATGTTGGTGCTCAACTCCACAAACCCTGCATTTTGAGCTTTTGAGTCAACTGAAATAGAAGACATAACATACTGGGAAAGGAGCAAAAATCAAACTCACCCTCCCCTAGGGTTGAAAAATTTAAATGGTCACTTATCAAAAAGGATCTAAGATCACAGAAGAATCCTATCCAAAAGTGGCATTAAATGCTATACATTGACTTGAAAAAATGAACAGAAAGAAAAAAAATATATAATCAGAGCAACAGAGTAATCTATTATATGGAATGTTATTTAGTATTTAAGCTAGATCAGTCTGACTGAAAAACAGTAGCTACAGTTCCATAGAGATCTAATATATTAAACATTAAAAAAAAATTGAATGACTTCTTTGGGTATGGGGAGGACTTGTATCTCAATCAAAAATTAGTAACTGCACTTACATTGTACTTTATGTTTTATCTATCACTGATCACCTTCGGACCAGTTTCCAAACAGCTAATATTACTTCATTTTAAATATGCTACATATTCTTACAAATAGTAAATACCACAACCACTTTACAAATCTTATAATGAGGAGAGCTAAAAGAAAGATGCAGGGATCCTCTTTCTTAGAAATACTGCTCATAACTGTGTGAGCACAAAGTCTGGCTACACTGATTTATAAAAAAATTATTATCAGTAAACGAATGAATTTTATTCATTGATAAACTGAAACTTGCCTTCAAATGAAGCTTCTGTGAATTCAGACTTGAATTTAAACTTTTTACTTTTTGCCTTTTATCTGTTACCAACCAATAATACCACATCAGATTTTATAAAAGGCTTATGAAAATTCATTGTGAAATTAAAAGAAATCAATATGTTCCACTATTACAAACCTATTTTCCATAATTCCAGAAAATACAGCTTCTTCAGTAATAATACAAGACATTACGAATATGGCTCTAAAGTAATGATGTTTCAATTTATAAAGTTCTGAAAAAATGCCACACAAAGTTGTAGTTTGTGAGAGATAAAGAGAGATAAAGAGAGATAAATCAAACAACACTGAGAAGTAATAAAATTCCAGTTCCATAAAGTGGTATTAGCATAAGCTCGTATTAAACTGGCTGTGACTCTAAGTTGAGAAAAAATACCATTTCTATTTTGATGATAACATACCAAATTTATGGTGAAAATTTTGGAAGGTAACTGAAATGATTACATAACTGTTTAGCATAACAAATCCTGCTGTTACAACTTATGGGGCTGTATCTAAATAAATCGTGCAAAACATAAAGCAAATGTACATTTAAGAAATCGTTAACAGAAAGGTCTTGTCTTTGTATTTTTTAAGTTACATTCCTTCCATCTCACACAGACTTTTGACAATATCTAGAACCTGGCTAATAAATGAAATCTTTAGTTCCTGCTTGTACCTCACAAAGGCAACTTCTTGACAATGACAGCCTCTGCAACGATGACCCCAGGAAGCTGCTCAAAGTCATCTACACAAAGAAAGCACAGAGCAGGAGTGCTCAGAGCACACCAATTATCTCGCTCTCCTCACTACGCCAATGTAGACCATATGCTTTTAAGACAGGATTCATCTTGTCTACCTTCAGGTCTCCAAAGTGTAAGTATCTATCCCCAGGCTTGCTGTGTCTGAGTCCACTATGGATTACAGGTATCTGATCAAAGGAGCAGAGTCAGGGCAGGTATTAACCTCAGTGAGGCACTCACATCTGGCCAGGTCAACAACCTCTACAGTATATTGACTAGGTGAGTACTGCAGGAAAAAGGGATGATTTTGCTGCAATGAATAAAGGTGCCGTCTCTGGATGCTGCAGCACTCACACAGACATTGTTAATCCTCCATAATTGCAGCTCCTGGACATATCCTGTGTATCCCTGTGTATCCCTGCCAGGATAATTTCTGGTCAGACATGCACACTCCTGGAACGGAGCATTAACTAGGCTAACACTCTACTTGCCTTATTCTTATTGTCACAGCAAGGCTATGAATTATCTCTTGTAGCTAAAATGAAACTGTAATACAGGAGACTTCAAGCTGTGTTTAATACATATTGCAGATACACTGACAACATGAGACAAATATATGCTTTAAGTATATATGACTGTTCAAAAAGACCCAGGGTTATGGGCTCTCTCTGCCATCTGTTTCCTGCCAAAATGCAACTGGTTCATATCCACCAGAGATTACATCCCCTACAGATTGACAGATGCTGATTTAAGTCCTCAAACTGATCCTTGACTTGAAAGCAGATGGAAGTTGGAAGTAGATACAATCACTGGTATCCAAGCACCTCCAGGATCCCACAGTACTTGGAGTCAGAATGTAAAATTTATTTTATATATCATCCCTGCTTTAAATGAAGCAGCAAACTTTTACTTTTCAGATTCCCCTGAGTCTACTTGTCAAACAAACAAATTCACAGATAAAAATAGGTTTGTTATAACAAAGCTAGGGGGTTAATTTTTTTTTAATACAAGAAAAAAAAAATTACAGAAGGAAAAAAAACCCAAAACCGAAACCTCAATTCAGCATGCTAGTATATATCAAACACTGAGGGGTTTTTCTGGTTGTCATTTAAGATCTCTGAATACAAATGCAAATAGGAGAAATAGCTCAGTAACACCCTGCTATCCTAAATGCTACCTTTCACCATCAATCTCTTTTTCCAGGTTCAGAGAATAATTGGAGTACGTCCTTAATTATATCCTATGGGGTTTCCTGGTTTCTACAGAATACAAATGGAATATCAAAGCATATTTAAGAAATCTTAGTTTCCATTTTAATTTAGAAACACTCACTAAATTGCTGCTTTGTTAAAGTGCAGCTCTTCACGTATTTTGGAACTGCATTGCCTAGGCTATGCAGAGAGATCTCTGGACTGCTCATTCAATATCTTTGTTTAATCTTGTGTTTAAGAAATAACTGAAACCTCCACTTTTCAGATACAGCCTGACACATGTTATGTACAAAATATTATAATTTCTTAATGTAGTGGTAACTGATGAACAGCTGTGATAGTCTTATGACACCCAATACTTCTTTAATATTTTGAAGATCACAAATAGGGTTCAGGAATAGGATGGTTTTGCACCTAATGTCCAATTATGCTATCCAAAACCATAAGTTCTGAGAGAGTATTACAGTAATGTTAGACAGGTAAATAATCTCACTGCTGAAGAGACTCCTAATGATCACCATGTCATGTATTTCCACGAGGGACAATAAAATCTAGAAAATATTAAAGCCAGGAAATAAAAAACTAAAAGCTATATTCTGATCCTGCACTTCAGCGCAAATCTCTGACAATAAGCATTTCTGACTTGAATTGCTACAATGGTCATGTGTGTTAGTTAGCTAGTTATAAACTGCTACATAGAAAATTCTTATAAATAAATTATATATAAAATTAATAATAATTATATAAAACATTAATTCTATTTTAGAGTGATTTAAAACCAACAGAACACAATCACTTTATGACTGTGAATGGACAATCCAGAAATGTTGCACTGACATGAGTGATCTAAATTAGCGTAGCAGCAAAATGTTGAAGGGCAAAGTTTATACCTACCTCTTTTTGATACACTATCCCAGCTTCAAAAAGCTTAAGAAAGAGATATTGTGTCCATTTGTAGTACTCTGGTAAGCAAGTGGTTACCTCCTGTAGAATTGAAATAAAATAAAAATTTATGAAACGATTCTCAGTATTTTCCTACACTGTTTCAACTTCAACAATTAACCCAGGAGTGTATAATACATTCCACAGAGTAAACATTTATGCAGGTATTCATGTACAAACCTATTTATTTGTACAATGCTTACAATAGTGATATTCACCTGTACACAAAACCAGAGAACACGGGCTTTGTGTGGGCTTAACGCAGAAGGAAAAGTTTCCCTGTTAACGTGGGATATAAAACTCTGTAAGATAAAGCTGATAGACATAAGAACAGAAGATGAATGGAAGTGATCACAGCTGCCTGATCAAGGAAACAGCAAAACTAGAAAATAAAGCAGACTTCTCTCAAAGAGCCCTCCTAGCCAGGCTGCCTTTTCCACTGTTGCTCAGCAATGGGAAGCAGGAGCAGAGGCTGTGGATGCTCCGAGGCAGCAGGGAGCTGGCTGATGTGAAGCAGGCAGAGCGAGGAGCTGACAGCTGAAATGGTGGGTGCAGGAGGAGAGCAGAACAGCGCTGAGGAACGCGGACTGCTGGCACACAGACAGTGCGGGACACAGGATGGAATACAGTGGAAGACACTGAATTTGAAGATGAAAGACTCGGGAAGGGGAGCTCACATTCAAAGGTCAAATAAGCAACTGCTCCAAAAGGCAAGGGAGCTCAAGTCAGGAGGATGCTCTAGGTTAAAGTATGGAAAAAAATGAGTCATAAAAGTCACAAAAGAGGAGGATGATTATGAAGGAAATAAAGACAGATAAAAATAAAAGACAACATAAGCAGGAGGAATGGGAGCTAAGAGAACAGCAAGCTACAGTATAATGGATAGCTTTTTTAAAACTCAAAAACAGTTGCTAAGTTTTGTCTGATAATTAAAAAACAAGCTGCTTACCAACTGCTTACGAAGCCCCATATTTTACATGTTTGTTCTTAAAAAACTCTGACTTAAAATAAGCATTAATATGCAAAGACAAATAATGGATTAGATTACAGACTCCCTGTTTTCTCAACACAAACACAGGTTTCACAGCTGCAACGGAAACCCACATACCTGCTTGAGGTGGAAGATGGCTTCTACACCGAACTTCAAATTACTTTGATTTTAAAGTTACAGACAAAAAGTAAGCCACTGATACAATTTATTCCATTTGGAGTAGTTATCAAGCATCAGAAATAGCTTTACATGTGAAATGTCTTTCACGTGGGCTTTCCCATCATCCTAGCTTCCCACTACTCACAACTCCTGCAGTATCATCTGCTACTCAAATGACATCTGAAATGCTCTAGCAGAAAATTTTTATTCTTTTTCTACAATTTTATATTCTAGCTGCTTTGAACTTTATATGTCAGTGCTGAAACATTAGCTTTTAACAATTAATATAACCTTTGAATAAATGTGCCTCAAAAGTGTGTATAAGAGGTTTTCAAGATCAAAAAGAGACATTTAATGGCAAGTTTTCAGCTCAGCATGTGAGAAAACCTAGTAATGAAAAACAGTTGCTTGATTAAAATCCTTTGCTCTGCACTGAAAAAAACCCCACTTGATAAAAATCTGATTTCCATCACTTCAACTAAGCACATTTAATAGTTTTTTTCCTCCCCTGCTTCTTCACACAGTGACAACAGTTCTTGTGCCAGTGTGATGCCACTACAGGCAACTGAGTTTCATCACTGGAGTATCAGACACACAAAAGAAGAGAGGCAATCCTTTTCAGTACAATATAAGATTATGTGAGCAATAGGCAAACAGGTAGGACAACAAAAGTGAGCTGCCAAATAAAAAAAGTGAGTAGAGATTGGTCCTTTTGGCACTGAAAGGCAGATGTGTGTCAACTGAAACAAAAAGATGACATTTCCTAATCTAAACAAACATGTTACAAGCCACGCAAGCTTGAGCTACAAGATACAAGCTAATTCCTGCAAACAGAATCCCATGTACACGCTCTCTCACAAGGAGTAGATAGACATTTCTTTGAAAGAAATGCAGCAGACTGTATCACTGAAAAAGAAATCTGCTGAGTGGTCACTGAGATGCAAAAAGATCACTCAAGCTCAGAATTTAACTTTATAACCATGAAGGTTTGGAGTAACATTTCAAGTTAATGAAGAAAGAGAAATTACTTCACTAACAAGAAAAATGAGGTACTGAAGACAAGCCAGCAAACTCCTGCCAATCTTGAAATGTCTTTTGATGTTTTTTTTTCCTATCATTTAGCACAGTAAGATTTACTGTTATAAATAATTTTCTGTGTATTCGAGTTACTGACCCTGATTAAATGAATGATGTCTGATAAAAAGTTTCCATTAGGCGGCCATCATGTTAAATTAAGGTGAATGTTAACATCTCTATTTATACTCTGTAAGCACGACAAAGTTCTGCAGAACATTAACAGAACTATCTTAACTCAGAAATACACAAAAGAGTTTATAAAAGGGTTTGAAAAATAGCATGCTGGAGCCATTCCAGCCTGCCAAAAACTGTACATTTCTGCTTCTCATTTGCGATCTGAGCACTGGCACAACAGCATACATATAGAACCCCATATCATAAAGCAGTACAGTGAATATATATAACAGGGTATTACCATATTTTCCACAAAAATAAAATACCTACTAAAAATCCCAACTCTTCTAAAAATATGTAAGATGCTGCTCAGCTGTCCATTGCATGTGCTCTTCAGTGCTCTGTGAGAGATTTAGTGATCACCCATCACCTCAGCATTTCAGGAGGTATTATGAAATGAGAGGGAAAGCCTCTCCCTCTTCCCCCCATCCATTTCGGCTTCTACTTTTGTCAGCTTTAAACAGATACTCTCACCAAAATGCATCTTTGTCTTCGGTTACTGCCCCTTATTCCTACAGGAATGACACTCATTCATTAATAGAATTCATTACAACAATTTAAATAAACCACCTACACAGGTGGTTTGCTTTTAAAAGAGCAGATACTGGCAAGGCATAGGAAAGACCTCTATCCTTCCCAAAAACTACCTTGCTTAATCCATTTATTGCAGCACAGTAATTTGTTACTAACAAATACCATACCAGAGGGGTTGGTAACATGTTTATTTTTGCAAATAAATTCTCAGTTACAGACTAAATGGGTAGTATTACAATCTGGATTTGATATCACTGCAACGTGGGAAGCAATGGGTCCATGTAAAGGTCAAAAAGCCATTCACTATTATAAAATCTGATTTATAGAGTACCTTTCAACTACCAATAAAAATAAGGGCAACCAATAGTAAAGAATCCTGCATAAAAAAACCAACAAAAAACAACAACTAAATCTGGGTGAAAGATTTTGTTGTTTAATAAAAGTAATTTTCAAATGCTTTGTTTTGAAATTCATGATTTGTTCTAAACCTGCTCGCTTCTTACAACATTCTATTATGAGTCTCTGACCTTATAATTCATTTTTGCTTGTATTTTTAAGAATAAGGCTACAACTTCAAGCTACTTCCGTGGCTATATTTTAAAAAATAAAAGTAATATTTATAGGCCGCATGAAAAGATTTTGTTTTTTCTAAGATCCACCAGGCTTTATGAAAAACATATAACTAGACTGGAGATAAGCAATTTCCTAGTTTATTAATAATAAATTTATTTTTAGCACAGTCTTATGCTGTCCTGAAGACAGGCATGTTGCACCTCTTTAAAGGGAGATAAGAAGAAAAAGTCAGGATGGATTTTTTTTTCAAAATCAATTTGGGAAGATAAAACAGTCTTTAATCAATTATCTGCCTATTTTGGTTTTCAAGGGCATGCACTACCTCATCTAGAAGTATAATTATTTGATTTTCAGAGGTTTAGAGCTACACCAACCTACATTTCTAAATTAATTTGAGTATTTGTATTTCAAAGGCCTTTAGTTTTATGCTTTATTAGCTACAAATAGAAATGTCATACAGTGCCTACATTTTGGAACATGAATATATTTCCTGAAAAAAAAAGCAGTCTTGTATCAACAGTTTCTTTTTAAAAAAATTTAACTATAATTGGGTCACTGATTATCAATGGTATGTGGATAAGAAGAAAATTTCATAGGTAATAATCTATGTACTGTTGGCTTTATGCATGCTCAGGCAGTACACACAGATGACAACTTCAAAACTAAATAGAAAATTATCTGCACAAAGAAAATCTACCAAAGATTTACATTTTTTAATAATGTACAGAGCAGACAGGGAACATTAGTCTCATGCACAAAATATGTCACTTGGAATGCAGAAATTGAAATTACTAAAAAACCTTCACAGAAAGAGCTACTTCCTGGGAGAAAGTTACAGACTGATAATAGTGGTGAACTGACAGCTTACTAGGAACATGCATTTGGTCTGATGACACTCCTGAACAAAATAAAGTAAAAACATTATATGCTTTTCATCTTCTGTTGCTGATGACATGAATAATTGAAAATTATACTGCTTCATTCCCCTGAAAATCATGCTCAAAAGAAGTCACAGGCAGTTTGCTATGCTGTCTGGGGTGGTATTTTCAAAAAAATCTGATCATCAGGAGTGCTCAGATTATAGTTATTTTAAAACCAAAACATAATGTTGGGGATTTTTTAAATTTTCCATGTGTTTTTAATGAGTCTTAGAAACATTTTTTCCATGCTCAAACTTCAGCTTTTCAACCTTTCATCTGAGAAATATAAATATTCAGAATAGAAATGTTATCTCACTTACTGATTTTTTAAAAAAATCTCTCCCCAGAATCACACCATTTTCAAAGTGATTTACAAATATAATACTTCTAACTTGAGGCACTTAGAATACCTCCATGTTTCAGGTAAAAAAATCAGATAATCATTTGTTCTCAAAACTACTCTAAGGCAACGTACTTACAGAGTTATTTTAGTAATTTAATTTTCTTTTTCATTTGCTTAGATTTTCTGTTTAGGAGAGCAATTTTAAAGTGCTATTGTAACCTGACTGAAATAATCTAATAATCTAATCTAATTAATCTATCTTTTAATAAGTGTCTTATTTATGATATCTTACTAGATAAGTAAGTTCACTGACAGCTACAAGACAGAAATACCTGCACATTTTGACTTGTAATACAGAGAGAACAATGGAAAAAAAAACCCCATGGAAAAATAAAAGGAAATTTCTAGTATTGCAAATGCACTGGGATTTGTTCATACTAATTTTATCAAGCAATGAGATTTAATTAGTCTTTGTATTCCTGGACACAAATTTCTTGACAACCAGATGTGACTTTATAAGCAGGCAGACTCTTTAGGACAGCTATATGCACTAGGTTCTCAAAATTGATTTTTTTTTCTTTTTTCCACTTCTCTTTCCCCATACTATATGTAAAAAGTAAAGTTTATGTAAGTTTCCTTCCCATCATCTAAGCATATACTCTAAGCTGGCCACAGAGGACAGAGACAGCTAACATAAATTCCCACTTTAAAAAAGCAATTCACCACACATCAAAATATGGATCTAAGTTAGGAGAACGAGTTACCTCCAGCATGATTTGGTAAGTACTATGCACTAGCATAATAAAGGGGTATATTTAAGCTACATCAATGAAATAAAATTTAAAACAGGTCCCTGCTTTGTGCAATGGTCTTGGTTAATGAGACCAACCCATATAAAATCTGTTTTTCTTGGATTGTTCATACGAGTCACTAATACTAGTGGGTTTTTTTGCAGTGTCACAGTATTTTGTGAGCCACTGATTTAGAGCCATACAAGTATAGAATACTATAAAAAAATACTCCTTACCTCAAATAACTCACTTTTAAGATAAGCACTTGCACAGCACAGTGCTTTTCTGTGCAAAGATGCTTGAGTTAGCCCAGGAGCAGTACAGCTGAGGCAGTAAGATGCTCTGCCCAGCCTAAGGAGCCCTGCAGAGAAGCAGGCTTTATCAGCCTGTAAAACACCCTGCTACACAGCTTAGCCCTTCCATTTCCACAGGTGCTTCTTTCTTGGCCAGCTCAAATATCTGTGCGTTTGGAGGTCACATAATATTTTGGGCTTCATTAATTTTTTTGCAATTAATAAACATATCTGTTTCTATGGCTACCATTCAGGTTACTCTTACTCCAATTAGTATGGCAGGCTTTCCAAGTAAAACAAAACTTAACTCATAAGCTAACGAGTAAAAACTCTAACATGTGTTTCAAGGAACATTTTTCAGCTGTTTTAAAATCTTACTTTTCAAAAGCACCAACTATGCGTCCCTAGAGCATTCTAAAGCATTTCAACTACACAGCATCTCAAATGGAGTTAGTAATAGGGTATCAAAGCCTTTTCCACAAGTATTCAGAGACTCCTGAAAGTTCATTAACCAAAACACAGTTTACCAGTTGAGTGAAGGTAACTCTTGAAGAATAGGCATAGAGATGACAAATGACTTTTCCCTGGGTACTTATACTTCTTGCCATGGTTTTCAATACTGCCAGTTTTCCATCTGTTTTTCAGGATGGAAGGGCTAAACAGAAGTTTATACATGAGACATTAATTTTCTCTATTTTCTTGAAATGCAACCTGCATCACTGAACTCGTGTGTGTGTGTGCTCCATAACACAGCCTACACATAGGATTCCACTGCTTTCAATACTGCTGCACCACACATACAGACAACCTCTGAGATACCCACAGCTTTAAACATTAGATGTCAAGAATGTGTGCAGTGAAGCTTCCACAACAAATCTTTTCTTTTCAGAGCAACTTTTTTGGCTACCAAGAAAACTTAAATCTTATTCAAAAGGTTTATACTGAAAAATCCTTCCATATATGAGACGTGACAAAATGGTTTTTTTGGATGCAAGACATACAAATAAAAAACTTCACCTTCATGATTAAAGAAAACAGATGGCATGTCTCAGACTGTCAGAAAACTAATGCTTTTCCTTTTCAGATCTACAATACTGCTATAAAAATCCAAGATTAGCATCTCCATCACTCTATTCAAAATCACATTAAGGTGATAAGCAGCAGCTATTGCTGAGAACATAAAGGCAGTGACTGGCTGATTCACTGGTAAATGCAATAACCTCACAATCGCTTCAAACGCTAATTTATTTTTTATCTGGAGAACGACATTAGCTTATGTCTGATTGTGTTTGGTAAGTTTTTTAAGGTGAACACCTGATTCTCAAGCATTAGTGTTTTAAATAAAATTTCTGGTTTCCAAAATCTTGATATGAACATCTATGAAAATGCAGGCTTATACTTCAAAATTTGGAATAACATAACCGAGCCACCGTTTCAATTTACTATCTTTAAACCCTTGACATATGCATTGAAAACAGTACTCCTCAAAAAACACATACCTTAGCACAAAGGCATTGCTGTTTCATAAATATCTGTTTATTGCTTTATTTCTAACACAGAAAATTGATACTTCAAAGAGAGAAAAAGCAAATACAAAGTTGAAATTACTTTAAAGATTCTCCTACTCCTTGATACTATCAGATGATATCAGCATGTCAAAATTTAGTGAAATCTGGTAAAAAGCTCAATTTTACAGTTTAAGAACTTAAACTGGTCATTACCAAAGACAGCTGTATCATCATATATAAAATGGTGAAACTCCATGGGTCTCAATGCTCCATCATACAATAAAATAAAGCAGTATACATTTTAAAAAGAAAATCTTACCCTTTCCCATGTAAAAGACAGACCTAGTGCATCAAACTGTTTCCTCATGTGTTGAATGTTACTGCAAAATAATGATAATAAAGGCAAAATTGTTAGCTTAAGATACTCCTAACATATGATCATATAAAAAATCTGGTGCTTATAGAGTTCTGAGAAATCAAAAGCACTAGTTAACCCCTAAACACTATGATCTCACTAGCAGTAAAACTCAGAATTATCAGAATACTCAAATAATAATTTTAAAAAGCCCCAAATATATTCTGGCCCAATTCCCACGGCTATGTATATGAGGCAATATATATTTTTTTTCTCTAGATCTGAATGCAACTTAAAAGTAAATATGGCACTGTAGTTTGAAGGAAGCATTACTCAAGCACCACTTCTTACTATTTTTAATTATCTTTACTACAGTTGAGTAAAAGGGCCCTCTTTAATCTCAATGTAGTATGGAACACTTCCACTTTCAGCTTAATCCTGCTCTATTCTGGCAATGCTCTCCTGGCTGTATTTTGCTGTGTCTCTGGTGGTGATTGTGTGGCTGTAGAATAACCTGAATCAGCCTACCCATTCAGTTGAAGATATGCCCTCCAAAAATTCTCCAAAAAAAACCCCACTGGATTTCTTTCTTCCCTCTGATCAACAGGCTGATCAAACCAAAACTGTGGCCCACAAAACCAGCTGAGCCAGTGCAAAGGAGGTGGTGAGAGCTTGTATCCTGGGAGGTGACAAAGAACTACAAAACTTCTGGTGGCAGCATCACCATAGATAAACATTAATCAACTCTGACACTGTCAGGTTGGATGCTGCTCTGAATGGATTGTAGTACAAATGTAAAGTAAGATACACCAGGATATACAGTGATGCTTTAGTTTGAAAATGTACTAAACACAATTTGCCAAAATACCCACAATTACACAATATTAGTTAGTGAGCTGGTGGGAATTCATTCATATACTGTAAAATGGATTAAATTTCTTAGGGACTTTGACCTTTCTACTGAAAGACGTTCTGTCAGATAAAGTAGTATCTATCCTCCTAGAGTGGATAAGTTGACAGTTATGAAAACAAGCATTTAATTCTGATCCAGAAAAAACTTGCAGTCCTGAATAATTGAGTACTGCAAGCATTTAATATTGAGATATTTTTGTTGGAAAAGTATCAAGAATCTTAAGATGGGACCAGACACATGAACAAAACCCAAAGAAACAGCATTATCAAAGAAGGAAATGGATCAAGGCCTATAAAGGTACCACAGATAGATTACTGCATCCAGAGTACAACAAACCACTTCACTTAGGAAGACTGGTTTCCGAGAAATTTTCAGCAGCTGTTTACTTACATAACATTTTAAAGAATATTAGGACAACATAACATAACACCATTCTGTGGTCTAAACCTAAAAATGTTCACAGAAATCAGCAGCAAGAATGGCTGCTTAGTACTTTCCAAGATCCAGTCTCAGAAAACCCCAACTATCTTCTTCCTCTCTCACATGGTACAAAAAACTGCTAATAAATCTAACCACATAACTTGTGATTTTCCACTGTGTACTCTACACTAAGGTTTACCTCACCATAATGAAATTTTGATTTATTTATACCTGCTGGTTTGGGTGTTTGGGAAAAGTTTCTCTTTTGATATTCTACCATTTTACAATTTACAAGTCATTGAGATTAAAACCTTGAAAATCATCCCAATATATTTATCTTTCAAAACAGAGTCATCTGCACAGTCCCATAAAATGTTGTCAACCCTGGTCTCAGATAACCAGGGTTGTTAAAATACTTCCTGTACCATCTTCCTTCTATGTTAGTTTTGCTCTGTTTTGTTGATTCATGGGGGCCACAGTACAGGTATTCACAGTGAAAATGCCATATTTCAATTCATTTCACCTTTGTGTCCAGCTTGCAGGGGGAAGGCCATGTTCAACTGCAGCATTTTCTGCTGGTAAACCAAATGCATCCCATCCCATTGGATTTATCACCTGCCAGCAAAAAGAAAAACCACAATGTTATGCAACTTTCTGGAAGGGCATTGGCAACACACTGAGAGGCCTCTGAATAATGAACGGTGCTTGGCATTCCAGCATTTGCTTTGTCTGAGCTGAACTTCTTCCAAACCTGCCAACTATGGCCAGATTTGCTTTAAAAGATGACTATGAAGCACACTTGTTACCTACAATGAGATGTTAGACAGAGTTCAAAGTATTATGCAATAAACTCTCATGACTATTTAAATATCAGGTTGACAACGACAAAAACCAACTCTTGTGAGTTTGTGTGGTGGTAAAAGCCAGTTGATGCTGCCACTGGACAGAACCAAATATTAATTCTAAAATAGAAGATGTTAAGTAGAAACAGTTGAAACAAGTTTTATAACTGTAACTGATGTGTAGACTACTATTTTTTACTTTGTGTTGAAAAACAAAATAAAAGAAAAATAGCCTACAATAAGTTTAAATTCACCAGATAAAATTAAGAAGATGAGGAAAACCAGTTTTAGTCAAATTTTACTGAAATATCTCTTGCAAATATAGACTACAGACTGACAAATTATTATTTCATGACCACAAATAAATAAAGGTGGGGAAAAAAGTTTACTACAAAATGTAATAGACAATTTCTGTTGAAATAGAGATGTATTCTTTCTGTTAACATGCACATTATTTAGAAAAATAATCTAGCAATATGGTAAGTATTCAAAAAACCTGTTTGATAACCAACAAAAGTAAGGCCATTACTTAAGATGCTGTCATTAAACACATATATACAGGATACCTGGTAAAGCCAATTCTATTTCTTAACCTACAAATGTGCTATAAATTCAATAATCATTATTAAAATTACACAAATTTAACAACAGCAAAACATGACTAACATTTTACAAGTCATAAGAAATCAAAATTTTTACCCCTTAAAATATCTATTTATATAAAGAATGTGTTTCTTAGTGGCATGTAAGCAAACAAGCCATAAAAGAGCAATCACAGCCATACTAATCTCATAATACATCTCCATGTGAAAAATCTCCTCGTTTTAGAAGCATAAGAGCTACTTTTGTCACTGCTTTGAATTATTTTTATTCTTCTTTGCCACTGCTTTCCAACCTTCTGACTTAATGTAATATTTCATAAAAAATATTTTATAGACATGTTTATAAAGATGCCCTAGGCACCAACACAGTGTAAAAGCAACAGGATTTAATAGATGTGACTCTTCAGCATTCTCATTTTCAGTACTGATCTAAAACTGAACCTGCTGTCTATCATTACTGGTACAGCAACAAAACCAAAGGTATTAACTATGATCATCTGTGATCCAAGCCAGCCCAATAAGGGCCTATGCACAGCATATTTTTGGTGTCTAAATCTAACAGAATTGGAATGCTATTCTGTGTTACAAACTTTCCCTATCAGACAAACTATTATTCCTCACACCACAGTATCAGAAATTATGAGTCTTAACTGCCTATTTCCTCACATATAGAGCGGGAGTTTACATGGAAAATGTCAGCTGGAGCCTAAAGCACTTCTCAACACCCCATTGAAGCACATCTCTGCCCAGCCCTTTCCCTCCCTGACCATCCACCCACCAGTCAAAACTATTGGTATGAAAGAAAAGAGAGTTATACTTTACATAAGCTATAAATATCAACAGAATTTTTAATGGACATCTTAAAATATTAATTTATGCAGCTCAGTTCTTTTTGACCGCTAGTATTGCTGACAACCTATGTCTGGACAGATGTGATAGAAAAAAGCAGATTTTTTTTTCCATGTATAATATATGTTTTCTCTATTTAAATGCCCTAGACTAATGCCCTGCCTTTACATTCTTACAAATGCCCTGTCTTACTACAAGTTGATGCACATTAAGTGAGATTAGAAAGAATCACTCTTGGTTAATTTTTGTAAAATTTGGCTTCTAATGATCTCCTGGATACAGACAAACGCAAGGCACAATCTCATTTCTCATGCTCCTGAGCAAAACGATGCGGGAAAAACAACTTCACTACCAGCTACAGACTCCCCAAAAGGGCAGATGGGTGCTCTAGGCAGTTCATGTGCAGACATTTTAACACTGTACCATCAGCAGTGGAAGGAGCAACCTGTGCTCACAGATCTTCGAAATTCTAGCATTTATCAAAAATACCATATTCACTCTTCATATTCAAAAGTTCAATTTAACGACCAATAACATTCCCCAAGCTAAAGGTCTGAAAAAGTATGCTAATTCAACTTTCAATCAGAAAACTGAATTTAAAGAGACATTAAAAATATCCTCAAATTAGCCTCCAGGATAGATCTATTTATGTAGTTGCTATAGAGATGAATGTAATATGCACAGTGGTTTAGAAAATGATTTCAAGTTTATTGTCTCTTTTACTTCTCTACCATGAATGGCTTGAAAGATTTGTGAAATGCATTTGTCTAAACAACAGGTCAGCTCCTTCTGGCTGTAATCTGCAGCAAAAATGCCAGTCTCCACGCAACATTTGACATTACATCTTAACTCTAGTTATTCAAGATAAAAATCTGAAGAGAAATGGAAGCGGAGAAGAAAATATGCAACTAACATGTCAAAAGTTGGCACAAAGGAAAAAGGAACGTTTGAATGTTCAAAACAAATTAAAAATATGAAGAAAAAAATGGAAAGCAGCTTTGAAGATGAAAGGGTTATTCCTTGTAGCTCTTTGATGGGTTGGTCACTGGCTCTAACTAGAAGAAAACTTAGCTGCTCTCTGTAGCAGCACAGATGAGCAGAAGAAAAACAAGTTATCCACTTTCTTGAATGCTGACTTGATGCTTTCAACAGCAACCTCTAAACCTTATGCAACTGAGGGATCCATTCTGCTCACTGCAGTGACCATTCTTCCAAGCATCAGTTCTCTAAGCCTCAAGGAGAAAGAAAAACAAATAATGACTGTATTTTCTTAAACAGGAGGCTGCATAACTCCTGTTAAGGGTGCCTACACCAGGTAAAAAAAGGCAGGCTGTAGTTTCAGCCATTTTACAATGGCAGAAGGCGGTGCTATCACCAAAGGCAGCTGTGTATTTCTCCTCACAATGAAACAGGTGAACTCCTCATGCTGAAAACTCCCAGGTTAGTCTTGAACACACATAGCATAACTTCAGATCCTCAAAAGCTCACATGACCATGCAGGATCAACTACAAAACACAGACATTTTCTACCACTTAATACAGTGTGCATGGGAGCAAAAAACGTTACAATGAAGTGATTAAATAGTGTGTAGGGAACAAAGTAACTACCACACTGAATGGTCTTTTTAGGAACAAATTATTAAAAATGAAAACAGTTGCATCTTGAAACATTTTAGATCCTAAAGACTGTGGCTTGAAGCATTTTTAAGAATCACTCCACAGGATGGTCAAATATCTGTTGTCAGCGATGGCTAGAGCTCTTTGTTTTACTGTGGGACCAAGGGGAGGAAGACACAGAAACTCCCTTGATTCAATGCTGAGATCTCAGCTCTTCCTCTCAGAGCATTCTCATCTGTTCACTGCTGTAACAATCAGCTCATCACACTGACATCAGTAGGTGAGATCAGTGTACTATATAACACAGAGCTGACAATGATCTCATAACACTCAGCTCTAAGCCTCCATCAGCATAACCAGGGCTGGTGATTCAGTGAATTTTCCTCAGTCTTTGTAAGGACACAAAGAACATGTTGGCTCTCCTGATATACCCAGTGTGTCTCAGAACTATGACCAGGCAGCTGACATACTGTTCTTACACTCAGATCAGTGCACTCTAAATTTTAAGAAAGATGGCAGACTCAGTGTCAGAAAGGTCTGCAAATAAATATATTTAATTCAGAGAATGTGTAATAAAAGAAGATGACCAGAAATGAAAATTAAGAGGTTTGCTGATAAATTAGTGGTTTGAATTGATACAGCAAAGTCTACATTCCTATCCCTACTTGCAGCCCCATGACACACTCGACATGAACTAACCAAAAAGGGCTGGCAAAACAGGCAATCCATGATTACAACTTCCAGCTGCCAAAAAACACCCCTAGCTCCATCACGGATCTTGCAATTGTGCAATCACAGACACATGAGACAGTGAGGACTTGCAGTTGGAGAGGGGAATAGAAAGGATGGCTGCTCCTTCCATTGGCTGCCCACAGTGGGCTGAATGTGTTGGAAATCTGCTGTAAACTGACGTATTACAGCATACTTTAAATACAAGACCTCCCCTTGTGTGAAGCCTAGATTCTCTTTTAAACATTACAGGTAATAGACATCACTGAAACAAGTAAAAATTACCATCAAACAAACAAACAGACAACTCCCCCAAGCAGATAAGACACACCTGGAAAAAGATAAAAATAAGGAATTTTTATCAGTGTGCACATTCTAAAAATGACTATTTCAATGCTTCTCTGCAACATAATGCTGCATATTAGAGAAGGCACTCTCTAATAATCAAACCATACAGATTTCTATCCAAACATAAATGCCCATTTATTTTTATTCTCATAGAATATAAGATATGAGATATTACTCAACATCCACAGAGTACCACACACACATTTTGAGAACAAAGTTATCTTTTGCCTCCTTAATCTCACACATTCTTGTCTAACATAATTATATTTAAAATTATATCTCATTTTCTCTTTTTCTTTCAAAACGAAACTGAGTGAGCTCATTAACACCTTCAGTACAGGCTCTGGGAAAACTGAATTTAAATAAGATTCAATTCACACACAATACTTGTAATATTTGCTACTTTATACCACATAAAATAACCTGACAAAAGGACACAACAGTCTCACCAAAAAAAAATAGAAGGTGAAGAATAGCAGCTAGTGATGATCAGAAAACAGATCTGTATCAAAATAATTCATCCTGCTGATGATTAATTACAGAGTTTTAATTAAACCTGCCTGTCTGGATTCAATACCATTCACTTTTGCAATTTCAAGAGTATTAAAATTCACTGCTGAAAGGGAAAATAATTCATGAAAATACATCAAATTTAAAAGAAGATATGTTATGGATAAAAAGAAAATGCTCTTCAAGTAATTTAGGGGTGTTGCAGAAATATCACTGACTATATTCTAATCCCATCCATCCCAGTTTAAGTATAAATTAAGAAATAATTAGTACAGTGTGATTCTAGCATGCAGGAATTTCACCCTGATTTGATTACAGAAAGGACTGTTCTCAGTTCTGTACAACTCTCACATGTGACTGCCTTGCTTTGGTACCAGTTTCATTATCAAGATATCACAAGAACTATTGAACTGAATCACTCTGTTTACTGATCACTAAGGGAATTATTCCCAGTCCTCCGAGAGGCACAAATTCTCCACTTTGGAATTTATCAAAGACATGTTAATGATAGCATGATAAAGTAATGGTAAATACTTTTTCCCAGAGCAATAGTACACTGGAAATCTGCCATACTGAAAATCACCATTAATATCTCTATCATTTCTACACAGCAATCTCAAATAATTAATAGGAAATCACTTCTTACAAAACTCCTACATTTTAATTCACAACATGCATGTAAATTCACAGACTAAACACAACCAGAAACTACACATCACCAGAAACATGTCACTCTTAACACACTCTGGAAAGCCAAGCTCTGTGCAGTCATGCTAAGTAATCTATAGAGCTTACATTTCCCATGCAGAGACTTCAAACCTCATCTTCAGTAATCAAAATGTAAACAAGTTATCTTAAAACACATGTATTCTACAAATCATTTATCCAGCAGCCCAATCCAAGAGCATGACAGCTTGCTTCCCATGCACTGCCTACAGGTCCTTGAGGAGTGAGTGCTGGAACAACACAATGCTTTGCAATGCTTTCATCTACAGTTTTATATTGAAGCAGTATTTCTTTCAGAAACAAGGTGGGGAAAAGAGCAATAGATATTTATTTTCACACTTAAAAGTCCTGGTGCAGTACAGGTTTATGAGAAATATCTGTAGAGTTCAGTGCACATTACCTCTCAAGAATATTTTAACTGAAACAAAATCAGACCTTATGGAACTGAAAAAACTGAATACTAAAGTTACATTTAGAAAAACCAAAACCACAACAGAATCCAAATAATTAAAAACTTTCCCAGTTAAAATTTCAAAATACCCCCAATATGAAGATATTACACAACTGCATTCCAAGGAAGGTCTAAAGGACCTCTAATCCCTTTGTAAATGTATTCTAGCCTGTCCTCACTAAAATATTACCAAATATAGGCCAATTCTTGCTTGTTCAGAGTAAATCAATATGTAACTACTTTATTGTTTTTTCATTAAGGTATTCTTTATGAAAAATACCTCCACCATATTCAACATAAATTAATCTCTTAATCATATATTCTTGTCAACTACATACACATGATAGACGTTTCCCCTCACTGTTTTTTAATTTGTTTTTTAAATAACAAATATACATTGCAGTCTGAAGCTTTCCCTGGGAACTGTAAATCTGAATGGTTTTGTCTGTAATTTTCATTTTAACAGTCCATCATTTCTCACTGCCTTACACTTTTCTTTTAATTTGAAAATGATGGATTCAAACTTTAAACAACATTGCCACTCAAAAATCTTACCCTAACCTTGCACTGAATGCCTGAAATGCATTCACTTCCACTCAGATTTTTGATTGGAGAAAAATGAGCATTCCCTAAGCTTTCAAACATGCAATATTAAAGCTGAATTTTGAGAACGAAATAGAAGATCAATGGATCTTCCAAATTATGCACACTAACAGTTCTGTTTCTAAAGCATTCTTTCTTTTTAAATACTGAAGAATTCCAGTAATTCCTTGAATACAGGGACAAATTAGTTTTTCTAGGGAATATATAAAATTTTATGATATAACGATGTCTTAGCCTACAATCATCACAGTATCTTAAACATCATAATAATCTCTGGCAGATTGCACAACCATGAAAAAGGCAGAGAGAGGTTTTAGAGGCTGATAAATTAATGGCAAAGAAAAAATCAATTATACAGACTCTAATTCTAAGTGATGGAGAAATTACCATGGGTAATAAAGCAGAAGTTCTTTAAGGTAAATGTAAGTTCCAGCAAGTTAATGCATATCAATAACACAATGTCTATTAATCTGACATACCCAGAAAATCATCTGAGAGATTTTTAATGTCTCTTAATCGTAAATGAAAGTTAAATTCTTTGGCTGCCCACCTTTAGTCAAAAATAGATGTTCAAACTGGTTAACGTAACAGAAGATACAAGTATTTTTAGAAATCCAGCATGTTCTACAGGCACTTCTTCAAAGTAATTTTTACATGAAATATAAAAATATGCTGAAATGCAAGATGTAAAAACTTGAAAAGCCTGGAAAAATTTTTCTAGAAAAAATATAAGCAAATGTGGAAATAAAAACTTGTTTACATGGTGGCTCTTGCATTTCATTGGAATTATATTATCTTTTTACTTTTCCCAAATATTTCCATTAAAGGTGCTTACTTACCTTGTATTCAAAAATTTACAACTAGAGCATGCTACTGGATGTAGATAATTATTTTCACTTTACTTTCACAAGTACAAGAAAAAGCAAATTTTCTTCTTTCTGAACAGCAATTTACTGGCTACCTTCTCTGCTATTGATAAGAGATGGCTACATTCTGAAATGACATTTCATCAATAGTTTTAACATCAAGCAAGAATCAAGCATCCCTTCAAATGCTCTGTTAGCTCAATTTTTTTAGTGAGATGCAAGTTCTGGTCATTCAGAGGAGTCAGGAAAGGTAAGTGTTGTAAGAGACATTGGGGTTTCTTCTCATTTAAAGTCTAAGGCGTTTATTTCCTTTCCCTGCAATTTTGAAGCCTAAGAATGCATATCTGTAAAGCAACAGCAAGTATTCAGTGCATTGTATGTTCATCACTGGCAAAAAACACATAGTATTTGGAAAGGCAGCACGCTGAATAATGCAGTGACGATACCTATCAGAGTCTCACAGATGGTGACAAATCCAGGAAATGCTACACTTCAGCATTTGCAGCAAGGAAATTGCACTTAGTACCACAACCAGCAACTAACAATGCTTTCTCAATTTCATCTTCTTAGTACTTTTTTGAGGTTGATACCTATATTCTTGAGCTGCTCCTTCTCTCTTGAACAATAGAGAGACTCCTTCCTGTCATCCTAGTTCCTTGCCTATACTATTTTTCTCTTTTTGTTCCCTTCTCTTTCCATATTCCTCCTTCCTACTGTTTTCCCAGCTTCTTCACATTTTCCCTCTACCAAATGTCTTTCCTCTGTAATATGGCTGTCACTCAGGCCACAGTTCTCCTACACCTTCCTTACATCCTTCAAATTTTACCTTGCCAGCCTTTACTGCAAAATGCCAGCCAGGATCTCACTGCAGACTGCAGGGACAAGGCTCTCAGCTACCCCTTCCACCTAATGGAGAGACAGAAGGCAGCAAAGAAAAGTTATGGCAGGCATGGGGGAGACTGGGAAACAGAGAAATGTGGAAGGGAAAATGGGATTTCTCCTTGCAGATGTAGCAAGAAAGTTAGACTTAGCCTACCTCGTAGGCCTGCACCTTCAGAAGACATTTTATATATATGAGCAATGCTGAAATGGGCAAGCCAAGGGGTCAGATGCTACAGAACAGAAACTCTCAGCTACACACACATGATGTAACGTGTGGCATGATTCTGTTCATCTGACTTGCAGCAGTCACAAAGAAAAGAGAGGTTTCTCTCGCAGCGGGCACACAGGCTGTCCCTCTGTGTCTGACAAATGACATGATCTGGTTCTCAGGAGCAGAAGAGGTGAAAGCAGTTGATTTTGGTGGTATCTACTTTCTCTTGCCAGGTACATATTTTCCTCCCCCTGGTCCTACCCAGTTGGCAGGAGGGTTTTCAGCCTCCTCTCACAGAAACTGTGTGGCCCAGAGGTCTCAGTGACACTGTGCCACACATCAGTACAATCAGACACCTCAGAGAGCAGCAGCTGTTATCATCTGAGGTAGCTTCTAACCACTCTTACCAACAGTGAGCTCTGAATACCACTGGCTTTAATAAAATTCTGAAATTTTAATATTCAAAGCTTCACAGGTAATTATCCACACACCTGTAGCACATACTCCACTTCCATGGATTTTGTAAAATACTAATTTCCTGATCAATTATGATATTGAAATATACAAAACCCCCACCCAGTCCTACCACTGATCTATTCTTACCTGCATCCCTCTCATTTTCTGGAACCGAGCTACTGCATCACTGATGGTGTAGACACGAACGTGGCCCATGTGAAGCTTCCCAGAAGGATATGGGAACATAGAAAGCACATAAAATTTTGGTCTTGATTTCTAGAAAGAAATTTTTAGAAACTAGTAACTACATGTGTTAGCATTTCACTTGAACAAGTACATGTGCACATTATAAACTACTACATGACAGCATAAAGAGAAACACAGTTCTGCTGGAACTGATCCAAGTGAGCACTGACAACGTTCATTGGATCAAATTCTTTGGGGCTGTAAATGGAGGTGTTTTACCAGACTTTGCTGCCATCTCGTCAATTTATACTGAAAATTCTATGGCACTTAAATGTTATGAAAATTAATTAACTTTTACTCAAACAAGCTATATTGACAGAACTGAAGCTTAACAGAGCAGCATTGCCACTGTAGCATCTGCAACTGATTATCTATGTGTTCTTAGTCTGCCCCAACAAAAACATGAAAACATAGCAGATTAAATTGCTCTCGTTTAAATTCTCGTTAAATTACAGTTTAAATAATTAATGTTTTACTTTGTATCTACAACAAACACAGAGCTCACTCCTGGCCAGTTGTTTTCCATCATCTGAACTGCAGAAACTCCCAGAGTAACTACATCATTTGCAATTGCATGAACATCTGCTAAAGGGAAACTTTCAGTTTCACTATGTATGCTCAGATTCAAACACATCTTACAAGCAAGATTTTGCATAATGAAAAGAAACGGAAAATTTCATTTACTTAGGTTTAATTAAAATGACAAAAGTTACAAAGAAATCAGAAATCCTCTTTCACGTCAATTATTCCTAATACATCTTGATTGCCACTGAATTCATCACTGATACATTGACAGTATCAAGTACCACTGATACTTGCTAAATTCTTGTATTATTTTTCTTGATAATAAAAAAATTACAGGCAGCTTTCAGCTTTCACTGTTTGGAATAAAACTCTATTAGTATTTGTCAAACAATATTTCTTTATCACTTTTGTTCAATCACAGCAAAATCAGAAATAATCTGAGTACTTCACTGCAGCACTACACACTATTTGCCTCTTAATACGTTATTAAATTTACTTCAACTGTAAGGATAAAACAAAATATCACTAAAAATACAATTTAGAACTTAGCATACATATGCTACATATGACTCCCATGTACATATGCATATAAAAGGCACAAGTCTTAATGAATGCTTTCCCTGCTGCAGGTACTCATGCACATCATTTCAGTTTTCTTCCCCAGAAAAAGCAAGCTCTTTTCTCGCTTCAACATTTTGATAGAATAATTTTTTTTTTGTCAGAGAAAAGGCAAATTTTAAGGGAGATGAACAAAAAAACATCAAGAGCCACAGAAATGTTTTTTATCTATTATGACAGAATAATTGTGAAGGCAAAAAGAGTCAGAGACTGCGATACAGCTGTTTTCAAGATCTTTTATTGCATGGGAAAACTTTTTTTTTTCTTTAAGTCACTTACTATTCCTATGAGACTGTAAACCAGAAAATAGTAAAAAAGCATTTTCCCTTAACACAGATTTTAGTGAGTAGTGTAATAGATTTGTCATAACATGGGGAACAGAACCTTGAGAAAATTGTTTACAAAAGTTACAATTAGATGTTTCTTTTAATACTTTAAATAATTAAGTGCCAAATATTGTATAATACGCAAAGAAAGAATTGATTACTTAAACCCTTCCTAAATTTACAAGTTTATACTTTGCCTATTACAGTATTTTTCCTCAGGACTTTTAAAATTATTTTTGTTTACTTATTTCATTAATGGTTTTCAATAATCTACATGAAAGTATTTTCCCCTGAAATGTAATGCACATCTAATCATTATAAGCCACTTGTACTAAGTAAGTTTCAATTAATTTCATTCTAAGAAAACAAAAATATAAACACGTAATCTCCACATTTTTCAAAATGCTTACATCAGTTTCTGAAATTCTGCAGAACTGATCCTTTATTCTTGGGAACCACCAACTTTCAACACGTTTTCTTGTCTCCAACCCATATTTTTTTTCCCATTTCCCCGTCTCACTGTAAATCGTTCTCACACAAGCAGGAACCACTCTTCTCTGCCATTTATTTAATCCCAGAAAGCCATTTAGTTGTCTCTTCAAACATGAGGAACACGGGCCAACTCTTTGATAAACCGACTGCATTCTTAAGGTTATGGTACCTGAAACGACAAAAATGTGCATTTCATGCCACAATACATAACAAGAACTCAATGATCATTATGATTATACTGAAAAGTGGTAGCTATTAAACCATTTTAGCTTGACTTAGACTACTCAGCTGCTTTTCATGGAACTTGCATTTTTTTTCTGTGTCTGAATTATAAAAGTATGTAATTTTTAGTCAAGAGAACTAACTGTGGCCTCGCACAGAACAAAACCTATTGTGCTAGATGCCTTATCTAATAAAATAAAATTCTTGCATTCAGTCTCCCATAAAGGCATAATCAGTCAATTGAAGGTTCCAGAAGCTCCATTGCCTGAATAGAAGATGGCTAACAGGGTGTTAGTAAAAATTCAGAATGAAACAGAGAGAAGAGGAAGTTGGATGAAATTATACTGTAAAAATACTGAATTTGTCATCACTGAAAAGAGATGGGGGAGGATCACTATAATTAGTAGATTTCAACCAGATATTCTAAACCAACTATTTTGCTAAGGCTTTCTTTTTCAACTGAAAATCTGGTTAACTCCTCAAATCCTATAGAGTCCTTCCTCTAAAGCTACTCAGATGGGAGAAAGATCAAACAGTTCCCATATTTGGGATCAGTCTCAACAAGATATTTGCTGATTTTACTTCCTACAGTAGGAAATATAGCATTAAAAGAACCTCTAATCTGAGATTTCCTCATCTTGACTGCCTTTTTGTTTTTAATGGCATTTTTACATTTCCTATCCTCTATGGTTGGTTTTGGTGTTTTGGTGTTGGTTTTTGTTTTTGTTTTTTTTTTAATTTTGCCCAATACACTTGTATCAAACTAGCTTTTTCAGTCAGTTCAGAATTTTCCTTGCAGAGTTACATCAGTAAAATCCCAGTGTAGAAAAACTCTGTATAAGAAAGGATTTTACTTATGCATTTCCCATAAGGTAGAAACATTACCAGTAGAAATAATTGCCATAGCACCTAAATTAGATCCCCAGCAAGCTAGTGAGAGTTATGCTTCCTTTAACATTCACCATACATGCATACACAAACCCTCACTGCTTGTCTCATTATCTATAGAATTGCTCCTTTTCTTCCTTATCCACCAGGGTCTATAAACACTTTTCTACTTATGTCACATCAGTGCTTTGGATTTCTTGTTGCTACCCTCCATAAATCTCTCTCATTTGTAATAAAAACAAATCCAGGACGGTACTCAGGATTCCCAGTTCAGGCGCACATGAGTCATTCAGGAGACTCCAACTTCCCTCCCTCCGTACCACCATACTCATCTCAACATTAGCATTTCAGTACTTCAAAGTTTTCTGCTTATTTTTACTAATTATTTCCTTATTACTTATGTCTTATTTCTATTGATTTATTTTACAACAGAAAGGAGAGTTTCCTTATGCAAGCCAATCTCAGCACTGCCGACTTACAAAGCAAGTATTTTAAAGCCCAGGAGCTACACGTGAAGGGGAGACTAGCGGATGAGAGGACAGTCTCAAGCTGCACATGGGGAAGTTTATGTTGGATGTAAGGAAGAATTTCCTCCCAGAAGGGGTGTTAGATATTGGAACGGGCTGCCCAGGGAGGTGGTGGAGTCACCATTCCTGGGGGTGTTTAAGGAAAGACTGGACATGACACTCAGTGCCAGGGTCTGGTTGAAAGGGCTTGGACTCAGAGTGATCTCAGAGGTCTTTTCTAACTTAACTGATTCTGTGATTGTGAGACAGGAAGAACAGAGACTCTGTGCCTGTGCACAGCTCAAGGAAGCCCACCAGCCGATGTTATGTCTGAGGGCACATTTGGGTGACCTCAGGCCTTACAGGTCACCCCAGCAGGGGTCAGAGCAGTGGGTGGGAGTGAGAAAACAACCACAGCCAAGGGCACACCGCACTAGCGCTAAGCTCATTCCAACACATGGAATTTCAGGATGAGAAAGAGAACTGCAGCATCCTTCCTGCTCCCAGGTACCATCATGCACAAGACGCAATGGTCAGCCAGGATGTGTTGGGCCAAGCCAGGATGCATGGCACAGAGGATAATCAAATCCAAAAACCACGGCACTAAGCTGTTTTTCCTGTCCAGGCTTGTGTGCATGGGACTAGGACAAGGAGAGTGCCTCTCCCAGCCCCACTCAGGGGCACTCCAGCCCAGTGCTGTGGGAGTCTTTCAAGGAGCAGGTTATGAGCCTAAAACTGTCTTACCCAGGCAGTGTGCCAAGCAAAGAGGAAGGGGCTGGTCTGATAGAGAAATAAATCACAGAATGTCCTGAGCTACAAGGATCGCTGACTCCAACTCCTGGCCCTACACAGCTCACTTCAAGAGTCACACCATGTGCTCAGCATTGTCCAAGAACTTCTTGAACTCCGTCAGGCTTGTGCTGTGACCACTTCCCTAGGGAGCCTGTTCAGTGCCCAACCACCCTCTGGGGGAAGAACCTTTTCCTAATACCCAGTGTAAACCTCTCTGGCACAGAAAACGTTTGGAAAGATGCAGTAAGCACGCGGGACACTGAATTCAAGTCCTGGAGACTGCCTGACGAGGCCCAGCACATTTTACCCAGCCCCGGGGGGGTGGGGGGTGTGGGGGGGGCGTGTCCCGCCGCTGGAGAAGCTTGCACGGGGAGCAGGCGGCTCCACGGGCGGGACAGAGCGAGCGGAGGAGCGGTGACAGAGGGAGGCTGGAGGAGGGGGGAACTCCGTAGGCACAGGACCGCCGGGAGAGCCGGCTGGGCGCGGGCAAGGAGCCCAAAGGAGCGGGCTTTGGGCCGCCGCGGGCAGCGGGATTAGCGTGGCTCCGGCGGGCGGGGGCGTGAGGCGGGGCCGGGCGGGGGGACCGTTACCTGCGCGCGCCCTCCATCAGCTCCCCCGCCGGGCCGCGGGCGCCGCCATCTTGGCGTGTCGGTGTCGCAGCGAGGCGCCGCCTCCGCCCGTGGCACCGCCCGATGGGGCGGGAGCTGCGCGCCGGGAGGGAGCGGGAAGAGTTTCCCCCTTTCCTGAATGTGACGTGGAAACGTAGAAGAATAGTAGATAATAAAAATAATAGTTAAAAAATTAACCCGTGTTGAGCTCTCTAGAAAACGCACAGAGCCTGCTCGGCCTTGAGAAGACAGGGGCCCTCATTAATGTCTAGAAATGTCTGAAGAGGGGGTGCCAAGGGGACGTGTCCAGGCTCTTCTCGGTAGTGCCAAGCAGTGTGACATGAGACTACTGATGTAGGCAGAAACTGCTGCGCAGGAAGTTCCGGCTGAACATGAGGAAAACTTCTTTGCTGTGCAGTGACCGTGCACTGGAACAGATTGCCCAGAGAGGTTGTGGAGTCTCCCTCATGTGAGGTATTCGGGAACCGTCTGGATGCAATCCTGTGCCGTGTGTTCTAGGATGATGCTGCGTGAGCAGGGAGGTTGGACCAGATGACCAACTGTGGTCCCCTCCAAGCTGACCTTTTCTGTGTGGGTAGCTTTGCTGTCCTCCACAGCATATACAGATGCCCTGTAAAGTGACTGTATGGGTTAGGGCTAGATTTCAGTAATTTCAATAATTTTACTTACCTGCTGGGTTGGTTTGTTTGTTTGTTTTGGCAGAATCTGAAATAAAAGGCAAGGGTTTGGGGATTTTTTTTTTTTTTGTGATGACTTTTTAACTAGTAAGAGTAAAAAGCAGACGTCACAGCAACACAGGATCACAAAATGGGTACCTGGGAGCAGGAAAACCGCTGCAGTTCTCTTTCTTGTCCTGAAATTCCATGTGTTTGAACGGGCTCAGCTCTAGTGCAGTGTGCCCCTGGCTGTCATCTAGCCTCCCTGCTCCAGCAGGGTCATCCTAGACAACATGGCACAAGTCAATAAAGACAATCTAGCACAGCATAATTATTTCTACCTCTGCCTGGAAAGCAACATCTCATGCCGTTGTCAACACTGTGGAGTTCAGAGTTGGTTTTAATTCCTCCAAGTAACTTGTACTGGCCTCCAAGAAACAAGAAATAATATGGGGTTTTTTATTTCCCCATGTTTGTACCCTTTTGCTGCTGGCAACTGTTGAATCTTTTCATTTGTAGACCTTTTTCTTCACTGTTGTGTCTCCAACACAGTTTAAACAGACACATTCTGTTTATGCAGTGCAATGCCTACAGTAAAGTCAACCTTCTTATGTGACTAAAAATAAGTATTTACTGAATAAAAGCTTTCCACTTGGTTGTGTGTACCTGTCAAGTGTGCTTAAATTATAACTTTTCCACCACAAAAATGAACAGAGAGCAGCTCTGATGGTTACCCTGCTGATAAATTAGTACAGTTTCCCCATGACTCTGTGCATAATTTTATTTTGCTTTCCAGTTGATCTCCCTGTCAGCAGGTGGTGGCAAATTGGCTTTCACAGGACTTCCATCCCAAATTTCTCCCTGAGCTGCTGTGTGAGTTCCTGGACTGAGGGAAGATGAAGCATTTTGTTGTGTGTGTGGACAGACAGTACAGTCCCTGGCAGTACAGTCCTGGGACACCCTCCCAGGATAAATGACAGCTCATGACCAGCTGGGACATGTTTTCAACTTACAGGATGATTTCTGCTCACACCGCCCTTAACCCCTGCACTCTCCTGATTCACATTTGAGTGAATGGATGAAAATTATCTCAGAGAGGTTAGCAGACTGGGTGAGACCACAGAAAAAAAGCCAGTATAAGATTTTGGAGCTTTTGTGTGCTTTTGGCTGTCCTCTTGACACCCTGGGACAATTATTCATTGCCATTTGTAGGCACTGCTGACATGGGGTCTTGACAATGTTTTTGAAATGGTGCTGCCAAACAGTCAGTGTTTAATAGATAAGTAACTCCTACCATAAATAAGGCAATAAAAAAGTCCAAATACCAAATAACAGTGTATGTCTGGATTGGTTTTGGCCTTCATGGATTATCATACCTTGAAGAATACCTTTCTTCTTTCCTTCTCAGACTGTTTCTGGTTGGTCTTGGTTTTTCTCACCCAATTTCAGTTTCTGTTTACAGAAAATCTTACACCTTTTCTAGCTTTGTTTGATATTGGCTGCCTTCCTCACTATTAGAATCCAGTTTGCACAATGAGCTCCAATAAAATCAACAGAAAGTGACACAAAATTTCAGTATATTCTCAGAGTAAGTTTCCAATAGTATCTTGACAGAAGTCACCTTTTACATGTTCTAAGTAATGCACAATTTAAACCTGTGTCAAACCTGCTTGACTTGTTTTTGTTAGCAGCTAATAAAAGTCATACCAGTAAAGTCCTTCCAGAAGAAAATAAGAGTTTGGTTAAATTTTAATTTTTTTAAAATAGTGTCTGCAAAATGGCACTATAGCCAAGACTTGGTACAATACTTGCCATTTCATCAGAATCCCAGGACAGATTTGAGCTCATCCAGATGCAGTTTGGGTTGTTGGTTAATATGGTAAACAGAGAAGAGCTAGAGGCTCCACATGGGCCCAAACCTAATGAGTGCTCCTCAGGTGTGTCAGGTCTACCTTTGTGTATCGCATACATCGAACTTTCTAGGAAACATTTAAGATTGTGATTAATTTAGTATTAATCTAAACAGATTATCCTCAGCTTCGAGCAAATCAAATACATAAGTAGATTGTCAGGATGAGAAAGTAATGTTTTAGTGAAATGAATGGATTAAAAAGATAAGACAAAGGTCTAACTACTGAATCAGCTATAATCTTCATAGCAGTGGGTGATAAATATAGGTCAATATGTTTAATGTTAGATACTTCAACAGTCCAGAGATTTAAATGTTTTTTAAAAACTGTAGACCTAAATTTGAATTTCAAAATGTTTTCAAGACAACAAAAAATAAACCTCTCGTTATTTTGCTAATTTTTCTCGCTCTAAGCTGTATGGTGTTTTCCCCAGTTGAGGGGAAGAGCACTACACACACAAAATAGAGAGGTTTTCATTTGCAAACCAGGACGGCCCGCTGCTCCACATGAGGTCCCTTCCCCTTGGAAGTGGGAACCTCTCAGGTTCCTGAGCAAAATCCTGTAGCAATCATGAATCAGAGCTGTAAGCTACACAGCACACCACATGAGTGAAAATGAAACCCAACAATGCCTTGATAGCCCAGGCAGGGGTTGGAGACACCACCCACTCACCTGTCTCTCCTTACTGGGCCAAAACTCATGTAGAGTGCAGAGAGCAAGCAGGGACACAAGCCCTGAAAGAACTCAGACTTTTCCAAACAGGATATCTAACCCACTCTCCCTTGATCCCCACCTTCCCCACCTGGAGTTTTGCTTCCTAACTAGTCTGTTTTCTCAGTCTCATTCATTATGGGAAATAATTGATACAGAAATATTTGTATTTGCTTTAATAATCATAAGCTATTTTCCATCGTGCTGGTAGTCCCCTGATTTCTTTTTTTAGACTTTGCACTAATGTGTTTGTTAGTATTTTCCACATAAAATGTTAGTCCACATAAAGCCTGAAGCTGATTGAGTGAATGGGTAATTCATTAGTTCCTCTATGGGAAATGTGCAGAAGTGCCCCAGTTGTTTGTCACTTAAATAGACATGGTTCCCAGATTTCCGTACAAGTATAATTTTGCTTTGGCTGATAATTACCAGAATTGATGTTTGTTCTTCCTGGAATTGTTTTTTTGCTCCTACGTCAACAACATGACTAGTATTTTTTTCAGCCTCCTAAAAAAGAGGATTGAAACCCAGCCCTTCAAATACAAAATTATTTTTACCACCTACTTCAAACATCAGCCACATTTCATGTACTTAAATAATTTGTTTGGTTATTTTTTTTCCATCCAACTTCTTGAATGTGGCTTTTGCTACTGAGTTTCATTTTGCTGTTGCTTACATATACGCATATTTAGTGATATTGCTTTGAAACACAATGTCAGATAAAAAATGCGGGTGATTGGATTGCAGGGGGGTGAAGAATATCACTTGAGAATTAAAAAAGCAAGAAAACCATAGAGTAAATTTAAGAAAAATCCTTTCAAACTCAATCTACTATCTGAGCCCAGATCTCAAAGGAAAGAATTCTGAGTGAGACCAAAAAGATCAGTAGAAGCTTCACTTTTGCAGTGGATTTTATTTTAAAAGCACTCAGTTGTTGTGGTAGTGGAAGAATAAACGCTTGGAAGAGGTAGAAAAAGCAGTTATACTTTTGGGATAGAAAGGAATGGATTTGGGCAAGACTGGTCACATTACCAGGGGTGGAGCTTAGCCTTTAAATGGTGAGTTTTGGTAACTCCTAACAAGTATTACTTGTATTATAGGTATTACTGTTTGATGCCCACTTTAGGTGGAGACTGGCCTTGGTGACAGAGGAGGTTCCTGTCATCCAAACCAACACAAGATTTGTCATTCCTTGGTTTGTCAGAATGAAGAACTCACACAAATTGTCAGTGGAAGAAAAGATCAGCTGTGTAAAAAGTCATAAACCTCCCTGCCCCATCCAGTGCCTGGTGACCAGGATAGCCCTGTCTGGTTGGAAAGTATCTGTGCCTGTCCCCATGCCGCTCATAAAAACACTGATTGTTATGAAAGAATTTTGAAAACATGCAAGATCCAGACTCAGCAGAATCATATTTACCAGCATTTATCAGGCTGATGTTGGTACCCTGAGCCTGGAGCTGGGACGTGGGGCTGACTAATTTTTCAGATCTAGGTGAGCCTTATTCTGAGGGGGTCTTATGCAGCACCTGTATTGTCTTATTTACAGAAGGGTACATTTAAACCAAAACACACATTCTCCATGTTCCGCATGAAGGCGTTAGACCAGTGACAGTCAGCACCTTCTTACTGATTCAGAATAAAATCAGTGTGTGAGTAGGTGTGTGCATGTGGCTGGGGAGAAGTTATCAGAATCGATGCACCTTTACTTTTTTGCCTTTCATCAGCAGCTCAGTTTTCAAACAAAGTGATTGGTACTGTATTTTCCTCTTGGCCATCTCCTAAT